GAGATTTTCATATATATTTGTTCAGATCACATCAGAGTTAAATCACATCACTGTATTTTCCTAGATATATTGTTGTTTTAATAACTTGCACTTTTTGGTCAAAGCAACTTCACAGCTCTTTGGTTGTGTTTTACATTGTCATTGTTTTAGTGTATATTTGTTATAAATGGTATTAATAAAGTCTTTTTCAAGCTGCTATTATCCATTGAATTACCAGTTTATTAGGTAAACCTAATTCATTCCAATATAGTGCCCTTGTACGTTTGATCCTAAAACTTAATTTAAGTTCCGTTTGACACTATTGAGGTGTTTTCATTCAGCTGTTCTCGCTTTGGCAGTACTTGCAGTACATGGAAAGATGTTTCTAATATTTTGTTAATACCCATTTATATTCATGAGGCAGATAAGACATTAGAAACAAGAATACAATCGGTATGTACTGAGTAGAATGAAAATCTCTGACACAGAATCGACAGAAACATAAGCTATACTACCTTTGTATTTTCCATAGGATGGTGCAGGAATGTACAGATGCAGTCGGTGCAGGCTCACAAGGCTACTTCCCAGAGAAAGATGTTAAAATGATTCATCACAAAAACGACAATATCAGAAATCAATAAGCATCATAATTAAGTTGAAAAACACATCACCAGTTCATAATTGTTTAAAATTAGTGTATAAGGATATTAAAGCTGAGGTGTATGACATTTAAAGCTGACTGTGGGGTTTCTTCATGACTTCCCTCCACCTGTGGACAGGTGGGCTGCCACTGGCCACCAGCCTCCTCAGCAGGCCGCAGGGCTGCATGTAAGGCACGTCGGGGTGAGCCTCATGGTAATACTCCAGCCTCTCCAACACCTTCTCCAGCCCCACCATGCTGGCATAGAACATGGGGCCTCCGCGGTGTCGGGGCCAACCGTAGCCAAACACATAGATGATGTCTATGTCTTCAGGTCCTGCAGCTATTCCATCCTCCAGGATGCGGAAGCCCTCATTGATCATGGCATAGAGGCAGCGCTCCAGCACCTCCTGGTGGTCTATGTGGCGTGCCACCAGGCCGTGCCTGGCTCGGTACTCCTCCAGAAAGCTGTGAAGCCAAGGATCAGGCCTGGCGACCCGACCGCCGGGTTTTTCGTACTGATACCATCCCCTACCGGTTTTCTGACCAAAGCGTCCCTGCTCACAGAGGAAATCTCCCAGAGGGCTGTAGCGGCTGCCTTGTCTTATTCTAGCTTGGTGCCCTGACGCCCCAACAGACTTTCCCAGCCCATCTGCCTTCCTGACCCTCCAGCCCACGTCCAGCCCAGACAGGTCAGACATTCTGAACAAGCCCATGGGAAATCCAAATTCCTCCAGAGCTTGATCTACCAGCTCAGGTGTGGCTCCCTCTTCTAGCAGGAAGAAAGCTTGCTCACTGTAAGGCTTCAGCATGCGGTTCCCCACAAAGCCCCGACAATTTCCAACAGCCACACAGACTTTGCCCATTTTATTTCCCAGCTGCATGGCAGTGGCCAAAGCATGAGGAGAGGATTTGGATCCATACACCACCTCCAGCAACTTCATGACATGAGCAGGAGCAAAGAAGTGCATCCCCACCACCAGCTCCGGGTTGCGTGTTTGAGAGGCCAGGTGGTCCACGTCGAGCCCAGAGGTGTTGGTGCACAGAAGCGTGCCTGGTTTACAAAGAGCAGACAGCTGCTGGAAGACTTTCTCCTTCAGTGCCATGTCTTCAAACACAGCCTCAATGACAAGGTCGACATCTGCCACAGCCTGGATGTCGTGGCTGTAACAGATTTTATCAAGTGCGGGGGCCACACCACGTCTCTTAGCCCCTCGCTCTAACATGCCCGACACCGCCTCCTTGGCCCCCATCAACTGCTTTTCCTGGGTCTCCACCGCGACCACAGACAACCCTGTCTGAGCCAGGGCCACTGCTATACCTCTTCCCATGGTGCCAAGCCCTTAGAAGACATAATGACATGTTGACTTCAGAAAAATATACAATGGTCGACTTTAAATAGTTTTAGCCTGGCAGCATATAGTTTTTTTTTGTTCCAAAGCATGCAATTTTAATGCACAAGCTGCTGAGCTTCACATATCCAGATTGTCATACATTCAGTCCTCCCTGCAGGGAAGAGAGAGTTCATCCATCCGAACTCAGCTGAACTGCCAATATGGGCTTATGTGGGCAACATGAAATTGGAGATGCCACAGATAGCTCGATGAGTCTGTGTGCTTACTGACAGCTCAAACAACTGGAACTTTAAAAGCACAAAAGCTCTTACCGATAACAGCTGCTTTATGCACAGGCCGAGGTTTGCTCGTGTCCCAGCGGGCTCCACTGGGCATGCTCCACTTGCTGACGGCCCTCTGAGCGAAGAAACTGTACTGCAGGGCACGGGCCTGGCCTGAGGTGAAGAGAGTGGCCATCAACTCTTTCTCCCGCTCCATGCCCTGATCGTAGGGCAGGGTGGCAGCCGCTCGGACCGCCTGGACACATGCAGTCGGTGCTATGGCTCCGCGTGCACTTTGTCGCACCTTCTGCATCACGCCGTCAAACAGAGCATCCATATTGGACGGGCGAGGACACGGAAAGGTGCTTATACGACGGCCATCCAGCGGTTTTTCTAAAAGGGAGACATGGAAGAAAAGAGGCTCCAGAGAAATTCTTTTTATTTTTTTTTATCTGTAGTTCTGTGACCTTTGCTGCCTGTTAAAATCTTAAAGCAAGATTATTTTGTAGTGTAAAATGCCTCCTTGTTTTTCTACTGGGTACCACATTTGACCACTTTCCTCTATTTGTCAGTCAGCACGCAGACTGGGTATAATTACTGTTTCAGGCACACTCGATCGCTAGTCACCCCAAGAGCAGAGAGGTTTAAAATACTTTTTCCAAGGTTATTTGGTAGAACTCTTCTAGTGCACTGGTACAATTCAACTTGAATAAAACCGATCTGAAACAAAATGAAAAGCAACTATTTTGGCTTTGGGCAAAAGAGTAGGTAAGTTTCCAACTCTGGAAGCAAAAAAGGGCAAGAAATTGAATTTTTTCAGATTTTCTAGCCTCTGAGCAACCGGAGCAATTTCCAAGGTGAAATTACAGGAGACGATTTAATATTGGAGCCTGGAACCGTTACAACATAAGATTTTCTGTCTGTGGCGATTTAAGCCTGGGAACAAAAAGAGTGAAGAAGAAGGCCACTCCGCTGAAACCTTGTTAAAAGCATCTTAATTCTCATTCCTGTGCCGTCTGACATGATTACATGAGACAGTAGTCAGAGTCCTTCACAGCTCCACTGAATTACACTCTCCGCTGTAGGTTCGGGCCAGAAACTGGGTCACCATGGCAAAGCTTAAAGAGACAGCCGCTGCATCTGATTCATGGAGTCCACTTTGTCGGATCACAAACAGTTTTGTCTGATACACTTGGTCGTATCAATAAATCAGAGCTGAAGAATAAAAGGGTCCTTTCAGGCCAGTGAAATGTACACCCTGTCCACAGTAAAATGTCAATGTGTGTGCAATGTGAATCCAATGTACTTTCGGAGGGCATTATTGAAGCAGTTAATCTGTAAATGGTTGAGCTGTGGATTTGTTGTGCAGCGAGTGGGAAGCCTGGTTGTTCTGACAGATGTAGCGGGCAGATGTTGCGACTGCCGGGGTAAAAAAGTTAATCTTGTCACCAGCAAGACTTGAGTCTGTGCACGTGTGGATTGTGATTGTGTGATTGTGTGCGTGTGTGTGTGTGTGTGTGTGTTTGTGTGTTTATGTATCTTAGTTTTGGTATGTTTTGTATAAATATACATCTATGATCCAACAAAGTAAAACTGTTGATGGACTCAACAGCTGTGCCTCTCTCCACATAAACTCTGACGCTAGTTTGCACATTTAAACACACGCTTCCTGTCCCCATTCAACCTGCCTGCTAATCAACTCAAGACCGCTGCGGCATCCGTCAAAATCTTCACAGCTTTTAGTTCTATCTCCCCAAATCTCCCTTCTCATGTGCTGCTGGCTTTTCTGTCTCACTCATGTCTGAGCCTCAGCTTTACTAACAATGCTCAGTCTCTCACCCACTCAAAGTCATCCTGGCAGTGTTGTGTCAAGGAAAAAAAGCTTTTCTAAAAAGCATAAGACTACAATCATCTTTTGAGAGTGAGTGTGAAATGTTTTTTTTACTTCCAGCCACTCTTGGAGACATTTTACATATTGAGATTGTTTGCTGAAGGGACAATATTGGGCTCACATGTATTTCATATAATCTTTAATGTCTTAAAAATGAGCTGCTATTGCCAAGTGAGAAACAGCATCTCCTCCTCATTTTATTCAGAATCAAAGGCCTTTGTACCATCAAGGCAGTGCTGGGGCTGTGCTGAACAGAATATGAAACCTCCTCATGTGCTCACACAGAGTTAACACTGAGAACCCACAGCAGAGTGGGCGGTTTGTGCACTGGCTCACAACACCAGAGAAGATAAAACAGTCTTAAACAGTCTTTTTCCTCCTGAGACTTCGATAAGGAGATGGATACAACTCTCAAGTCTGTATGATGAAGCTAAAGTTGGGTTAGCACACAGGTTAGCATAGAGCCTGGAGGCACACAGAACCAGATTGTTCAGACCTGGTATTAAAATCCATCCTGAGAGATCCGATCAGCAGTGGACAGAGTAAATCTGTCTGTTCACACCTGACGTTAAAATGCGTCCTGAATGTTTCACGTGTTCCCACTTATGATCGGATCTCACTTCCGTACAGGTTCGTGGATGTGGCCACATTGTGGATCGTGGTGGCAGCTGATGGTGGATTATGATTAGAACTATAACGAGGATAAGCTATATACACTGTTCTTGCCGGCACATTGTACTATCACTGGCAATACTGCTTTCATTATAACTGTCATGGCTGCTCGGTCAAAGTTTTTGTGTCGGCATGAGTGAGAGATAGAGGGAGAGAGAAAGAGAGCGCGATTCATTGTGAAGCTGTTGCAGGTCAGAGAACGTCAACTGAGTAAGTGGTCCTCCATTTGTGGTGCAGGACACATTTGTGTTTACAGTGAAAATAATGTGGCCACGTGTCTCCCAGACCACCTACGAATGTGCTCTGAGTGATCGAACCTCAATACAGGGTCACGAAAATGGTGATATTCTTCACATCTAACTCTGAGCAATGAGGCAAATAACCATATTTAGGCACTACTTCAATATAGTAAATGTTGCTTTTTTCCTTGGATCACAATAAAATCAGTCTTAAATGTAGTTTTATCTCTCATTTATTTTCCAGTTGAGCATATTAATGTGGGCTGTCAGTGTTATCACAAAGAAGAAAATCTCAATGGGTTTTCCCTCAACACAGACTGGATTCAGAAGTTGCTCCTTGTAAACTGCAGGGACGTGGCACACTTTACATTCCTTCGAGTAATTGAGAGTAAATGGGTCTGATTCAAGATCGCAGGGTATCCTCATGTTCATAAATGGCTGGTGAGAGCTTATTATTAATATTCTAGGAAAGTTTGTCCCTTTTCGCCCTTCTGAATAATACAGCAAAAGCAGTGAAGACATCAGAGCACATCTGACAGAGCCATGAAACATTTATGACTTCTGTGTTGGAGGATCTGCCTGCCACGTTTTTTCTGCTTCCTTTGACTTTCCACAGCCTACATGTCGACACTTCTTCATGCTTGACTCGTCCTAAAATAACCGCTCTAGGAGGAATCTCTGTTCTTGACTGAGTTAATTTTTAAACCGGTGAAGGGTGAGTGGATTTTACACCAGAAGTTACTTTTGTTTTAAGGGTTTTTTTACAGTCTCACCTGCAACACTCAGAGCAAACTTCACTGCTACATCAACGGTGTTGTGAGCAGTAACCTGATCCACTACTCCGAGTTGCAGCGCCTCAGCAGCAGTGACATGGCGGCCTGTGGGAGACATGAAGGACAAGCACCTGTATGGGTGATATGCGATATTTCACATTATTTGATTAACAGTCATACAAAGGCATCCCGTGTCCTTGTGATTAAGAACGTATCACTGCAACATTCCCTTGTTATAGCCTTGATCAGATACAATGAAAAACAGAAAGAGAGAGAAAAATAAAAAAATTATATTTGCAGTTTGACCTAAGTGATTCGTGAAGTAAACTTCCAGTTAAAGACACAATAGGTTTCATAGATGACAATAAAAGTGAACAAATACTGACATCTGCTGGTCATCAGAGTAACTGCACCTGTACTCCTGTGTACTGTCTTTATCAACGCCTCTGCCAAAAACAATGTTGTCAACTGACTCTCATTGCTATAATATATTTGCTACATTCATTTTGAACCACAATTAAAATACACGAAAACACGAATGGACAAACAACACTGTAAGAAAAACAGACGATTGTGCGTATGGTGGTTTCTACATATTTACTAATGCAAATATATACTTAGTTTAGCAATGTAAAAATTGTCCACACTCGTGAACATAATTCAATAAAAGTAAGACATGGTTAACCTGTCTTAGCTACCTGTGGTGATGAGGTCTAAGGCAGCTGGGACCCCGATGAGCCTCGGCATACGCTGGGTTCCTCCTGCAGCTGGGAGCAGACCCAGAGTCACCTCGGGAAGCCCCAGTCTGGCCTGAAAGGACACAAAGGATGAGACTCGCGGAAACAGCCCTCGTTGGCATGTAAAGGCCTTTACAGATGGATATTTCGAATGAATAACATTTCCTTTTTATCTACCTGGTTAAACAAGAATGACCTGGCATACTTTTTATGACTCTGGAATTTTAGAGACGCCGAGAGATACAGAGAGATCTGAACTAACTTTTGAGTGTGCAATTCGATAATGGCAGCCAAGTGCCAGCTCAAGGCCTCCGCCAAAAGCGCTGCCCTCTATGGCTGCCACCACCGGTTTGTTTGCAACCTCGATGGCGTGGATCATCGGCACAAGTGGAGGCCCGGACATGTTGGTCCCAAACTCCTTGATGTCGGCTCCTGTTGTGCAAATAAAATCATGAAGTTATCAGTGGTACGATGCATCTGGTTCCACATCCTCCTGGTTATCGTCTTTACACAACATGCCCAGTTAAAATCATACACTGCTGATTAAAAACAATTTACTGAACAAAATGTGTTAATAACTGTTTTGAAAATCAGTAAATCATTTTATTATTTCTCCTTCAAGATTCCATTAGTTTCAGTTTCTCAAGTGTGAATATTTTCTTTAAGATATATATTGTTTAAATGTACATATATATATATATATATATATATATTCTTATGAATAAACAAAATGTTCTTCAACAGTTTGAATTCATCTAATATCACACAGTTTCACTTGCACTCATAAAATAAACATGAGTAGCCCATGTCATATGTTTTCTTATTATCTCTCTCTATGAATGCTGTCTACATTAAGTGTATCCCACAAATTAACATATCATGAGGAAAATTTGAATTTTTAAATCTATGAAATGTGGTTGATACATTATGAAAATCAGTGAAGGGAAGACATCACGTTATTTGCGAACAGAATGTCATGGGGTGATAACTTTTCAAAAGATGTTTTTAATCGTGTTGCTACGACCATTGACAAAGCAGTTTTCATCTGGACATGACAAGATGTGTGGCGTAACTGTGACATTACAGGAGATAATGAAGAAGAAAAAAAACTTCATACCCCCACAGAAGATTCCATTCTGGCCACAGACAACCACCGACTTCACCTCCGGGTCACTGAGTGCTCTCTTCACCGTGTCAACGATACCCTGTCTCACCGCCGCACTGTATTTAATAATATGATAGAGGGTTTACAGTATTAGTTATATTAAGTTTAGACTTGAAGCAACACTATGCAACTTTTATTGAATAAAAGCACAGCCTGCTGCCACATATGGTGACTTATTCTTTTTGGGCTCTGCGTCTGAGTGATTAAGTAATTTTCACATAGAAAAAAAAAAGTCTGTGAATGTGCTGAGTGGAGCTCTGACCGTGTAGTCCCACTGAACTAAAACACAACTGAACTGTGAATATCAGACATGATCTCCGGCTTCCAGAATCAGAAGAGCTGCAGCTGTAACCAATACACCAAACTCTGCATATAATTCTCGATATTTTATAAAGTTTTCTTGCTAAACATTTGAGATAAACAGTGATTATGTCTTGTGCAAGGTGCTTTTAAGTTTTCACTGTCAAACAGGCTGATAAGCTGAGTCTCAGATGCCCTCTGATAAACCTTATTCAGGTCAGGGGTTGAAGAAGTTTTCAGATTCTTTTCTTAAGTAAAAGCAGCAGTAAACATAGTAGCGTAAATATTTTATTACAAGTAAAAGTCCTGTGTTCAAACTTAGTATAATCAGCAAGCTGTAGTTAAAATAAAGTATTTGTTTTGCAGTAGAATAGAATGACACTTAATTATCATCATAATTATTATAAATGGTGGCAGTAAAAAAGCCATGCTCATATTAACCACTTGTTATACTGTTATATATATTCAACATTACACCATATTCCAAAATTACATCTCACATTTTGTTTGGATAATCTTGATCTGAAAATAAACTGTAGCCGTCAATTTAATGTGGAATATATTGAATAAGTATAAAGTATTATAACAACTGTATTTAAGTATAGTACTTGAGTTAATGCATTTCCCCTTCAGTACTGATTTATCCAACCAAAGTATTTGACAGTTCGCAAAATCAAGTTATTGTCTTCAGTGTGCCATATGGGGCTGAAGTGAATCCTCCCACAGAACAAACACAGATCTTCTTTGCAGCCTTGTTCGGACCTCAGCTCACCTGAGCGCGTTGACGGGAGGATTCTGAAGAGTGATCAAACCAACGGACCCTGAGACACGAGTGAGCTGAGCCATGTTGTGGATTCAACTCAGAGTGTCGACGCACGTCTGTCTGTTGTGCAGGTTGAACTTTGAAACTTCACTTTCCCTGCAGCCATGCCACACATCATATTTACACAACGTCTTCTTCTTCTCAGCTTCCGCCTTCAAACGACGCACTACCGCCCCCACCTGGCCTAGAGTCGCAGTAACATTCTCAATTACATTTATTTCTCTTTATTCTGTGGATGTACTTAAAAAAAAAAAAAACGATGTTTAAATCATTTATCCAAATAAGTCATTTAACATCTGATCAAGAAGGGCACATATTTAAAAAAAATTAAACAAAATTTAAAATAATTTGCGTCCACACAGGATGTGACGTCAGTGCAGCGGTCGTCTCTTTCCGTCTCTCTCGCTGACAGCCGGAAGCTGCGGCATCGTGTGTGTTTCGCTGGTTGTTGACGTGAGGAACATGCGCTCAGTGGTCGGACTCATCGCTGTGGTCGCTGCAGCCACTTTGTACCTGTACTGTCTGTCCCTCTACCTGCCCCCGGGACCCCGGCGACCCCCTCCTCCGCCCTCTGCCCAGAGAGAACATGCGGACCCGGCACAGAGCGCTGACAGCACCGGGGAAGTCAGCAGGTGACGGACGTTAGCTGGTAGCAACAGGAGATAAAAGTGCTTCCATGTTTAGTTTCTATAGCTGCGGTATGAAGAGTTGTGTATAAGATAAAAGCCTCAGTTATATTACAGTCGCTAGTTAGCTAATGTTAGCATGCCTTCAGAGAGGATACCCTATGACATGATATATCGCCCCGCCCCTTACCCTAACCATCACAACTAAATGCTAACCCCCAAGCTTCATCCTAACCTAATGCTAATCTTAACCTTGAAACCAAGTCTCAAGCCTAACAGCCCTTCTAGGACTGAAACGCCCCTCTACTCATTGTATGTTGTGTACCCATGTTTGTTCCCATTAAATGCTTATTGTTGTTAGTGTTTTGCTCTTGTTAAATGAAGCAATTTTGACTTTCTGTACAGGGCGAATGGAGGATGTCACTAACGTCAGTGTTTGATGTTCTCACAGGTTGAAGTTCCCCTCCGACTTGGACGAGCTGAGGGAACTGGCCGAGCTTCTGCAGTTTTACAAGACGGAGCACACTGGATATGTCCTGCTCCTCTTTTGCAGTGCATATCTGTACAAGCAGTCATTTGCCATTCCTGGATCCTCATTCCTGGTAAGTTTATTCTCAATGTACTGTAGCAGAATGACAATATTGAATATATTCAAACTTCTATGCTTGGTATTTATACACATTTTTGACTTGCATTAAAGGCTTAGGGAAGGAAAGATGGCACTGGACGTGCATGTTAAGTGTGGTTTGGCTTTCTTCTTTAAAGAAATACCATAGAGGATAATAACATTAATCTATTGCAAACAACAAAGGGAGGTCATATTTACTTGTGTATGGCAGCCATACTGGACTGTTGACTGCGCACTAGGGTTTCTGCACAGCAGAGTGTGCAGCACATAAAAAAAGCCCAAGACCACAAACCACATGCAAATTAAAGCAACTCTCACCCTGTGTCTTACACCCCAAACCACTATTAGATCACAGAGTGTGTCAGAGCTTATTGTTACATGTGCACTGATGATGGTCTTCGGTCTCTGCTTGTCTTTGTGCAGAACATTCTTGCAGGAGCGATATTTGGACCATATGAAGGACTGCTGCTTGCCTGTGTGCTCACCACTGTGGGCTCAACCATGTGCTACCTCCTGTCACAGGCCTTTGGAAAAAATTACATAGTGAACTTCTTTCCTGATAAGGTCTCCATGCTGCAGAGGAAGGTACATCTGCAACAACATTGAAACATCTTTTCATTCAAACTAAGCCTGGAAACCAGACCAGCAAGTGAGCTCATGTTTATTTACTCCTACAGACAAGTCGGCCCCTCTCTTTATCAGAAAGATTTTCATCCAACTTTAAACAGGTTGGACTGATCATTAAACTAAAAGGGAGCATGCTTGATATGATGGTTAACAGGAAAACCAAGATGGCTGCTGCTGATATGGACACATCTATCCTTAAATACTCTTATGACAATAGCACTAAGAAAACTGGATGGTATATTTTCTCATCAAAAAGAACAAACACCTGCATTTACAGCATTTGTTAATATGCTGGTTCACATGTTCATTGTTCTTATCTTGTAGGTTTATCCAGAGAGGTAACAGATCGATGGTACTTTTTAAATTCCTGTTGATAAGCTTCACAGCTTGTTATAATGTGCTATCATTGATGCTGAACTGTAACAACGTGATATGACATTAACAACCAAAGGAGAAATGACAGAAATATGGGTGTACTGTCCCTTCATAGTTTCTTAACATCTAATGTCACTCCCAGGTGGAGGAGAACAAGGACTGTCTGCTCTTCTTCCTGCTCTTCCTAAGATTCTTTCCCATGACACCCAACTGGTTTCTGAACATGTCTGCCCCGATTGTAAACATCCCCATCACCTTCTTCGTCGGCTCAGTCTTCATTGGTAAGCTCACATGGGACACCTCTTGTTATAGAACTGTCATTAAGTGATCACACACTTTCCACATTCTTAAGTCACACATACTTCATGTATTCACCAATCAGATTAGATTGTTTTTTAGTTGTTCTTTAGTTGTAACTGTTGCTTTAAAACACATATCAAAGGGCTGATTGTCAGATGTTGTTATAGCCGACAAATGCAAATACAACCAAAGCGTCTTTGTAGCAGTGTTTTAAGATTACATCCTTAAGATCTAAAGATCTTTTTTCATTCACAGTATTGTATATTTCCGTAAACAGTCAGTCAGGAGCACATCAATTCAAACAAGAATTCAATATGTTTCTCACAATGCTGCAAATAAAGTTTCATCACATGTCTCACTGCAGTTTCTTGGTGATCTTCTTTCACAGGTCTCCTGCCGTACAACTTCATCTGTGTCCAGACGGGCGTTATGCTGTCTGACTTATCATCACTGGACAACTTGTTCTCCTGGGAGCGACTGCTGCAGCTGCTCGCCATCGCCTGCATGGCCCTGCTGCCCAGTGCTCTCATCCGCCGCTTCAGTCAGAAACATCTCAAACTGGATGTCCAGTCACAGAACGGACTCGTCACAGATAAAAAGGTCCAGTGATTTGTTCTGGTCATGAGTTTGTTCCTTGGTGTTTGGAAACACAGCCTCTTTTATGTCTTTGGAGCCATGTGGACATGGAAAAGGGATCTCAGCTTTTAAGACAATGACAAGACTGTAACAGTGCAATTTAAATTGGTGTTTCTTTACCACAGCTGCTGTGGTAAAGAAACACCATTTGTTTATATGGAAGATATATGAATGTATTATATTCATATGAAGAGAGGTTGCACTCTTGTTATAATACGAGTATGACTTCAGTGGAACCTGCTCGTGTTCAAAGTGCCTGACATGCAGTTAATGATTCAAACTTCTACCTCCAGGATGAACATTTTAAAGGCCTACTCATGTTTGTGATTGTTCAAATGATTGTTTTGTTGGGTTTGTGTGAATTATTTTTATTTGTAAATGAAAGAATGGTTGTATTGAAATATTTTTCATCTCTGAACTGAAAGTTTTGTAATTTAATGACCAGACTTTGGCCTAAAAAACAGTATTCAATGATAACGAGTTGCAATTGAATTAAATTATTTTTTGGGGACTAATTGTTAAGCCCTGATTTATTGTGTCTTGATTCTAAGTGGCTGGATTTTGTTTTCAACAAAATCCTGGTTCTGCAGCATCTGTGCTGCATCCAGTGTTATTTTAAAACTGTCTTCATGAGGGTTAAAGGTAAATTGTACAAATTGTTGTTTTCTTTACCCTATAATAGACCCTTTATATTTAAATACTTTATATTTCAGGTACATGTTTTTTTACAGTCGTCCAAACTGGACAAACTAAACAACTTTTTAGTTTTTATGTCAACTGAAGGCAACCACAGGTTCTCTTTCATGTTTGGAAAGGCAGGGTGAGGTGAGGGGTATTCAGCTGCAACCTCACCACTAGATATCACTAACTTCACACACTGAACCTTTAGGATGCAAGTGTTGTGTCTGCAATTTTGTTTCACCAGACATGTAAAGAGATAAACTGATACTAGCATTGGAAATGCCTCTGCAAGTAAACAAATCTATGTAACGATTGGATACCATTTTTTTTTCAGGATATTAGTTTCACCCAGACAAAACTACAATTTTGTTTTCCCAGGAATAAGTTGTTCTCCATCATTCCAAAACAGCAGTAGCGCTGTACTACAACTGACAAGTTCTGTGGCATAGAAGACGTGATTTTCAGGAGCGTAGTTTTAGCCAGAGCTAACGTGTCAGCAGTTTGTCAATATTTCATGCTGTAAAGTCCAGTTTCAAGGGATGGCACCAGTGTTCTGAATCACAGCTCTAATCAATCTCATAAAACATTTGAAGAACCTTCGCCAAGGCGAAGGGAAACATTTTCTAAACCACATTCAAACACAACAAAGATGGCCAAAAATAAGAAAGATAACATAGTTATTATTATGTTGTTATCAAGTTCATTGTTCTATTTTTTAAATGCACTGATATCAGATTGGAAAGTCCAGGTATTGGAATCGGTATCGAAACATCTCTATGATTTATTTTATATACAGGATAAATATATTCTAGTTATTTCAGAGGAGAAAGAATGATGAAACAGCAAACCTGAAAAAAAAAACTTTTCTTTCAAATATTCTTTATTGCTCAGATCCAGGTTGCTCAGCAATACAGTTCACTCACAACTCAAAACAACATCATGGCTGTGTACCAGAGAGGCATGGATCCACGAGATGTGTTAAATAAGGATCATATGTTTGTCCGGTGCACAGTCTCCAATTACCTTGAGCTGTCTGGGACCTTTTGGCCCATGGGAAATGTAGGACTCAGGAGAGTTTTTGATCTACTGAGGAAACAAAAGGAATTTTCCCAAATGGTGAAATGCAGTTAAGAAATGGATCCATGTAAAACCACTACTGAAGGTCTAGTGCTATATGAAGTGTAATACGTACTGGATCGCCTACAACAGTCTCATGCAATGCTTTGTGTGTTCTCATTGAACAAGAAGATGGGACGAAAAAAAACAACACTGCTCTGGTTCTGCACACATCTGACAGAAGTTTCACTGAATCCTTCCTCAGCTAATCGATAGCTTTTCTCTCCTTTTTGAATGGTTGTCAAATGCCCTTGCTGTTCAGTCCCCAAAGCAGAACATGCATAATCAACTTGTCTTTTTTCAGACCTGATACTCTGTCAACCTTTCTTGCTTGTCAAACAACAGAATTTTTCTTTTTTCTGATTCCAAAATACATTGAAAACCCAAGCTAGGATCATTTTTTAAAAACCACATTTTAACAGCTAGCATTATTGGTAGTGATCAAACAGGAATGAATATTAAAGCAAAGAATCACATCTACTGCCCCAGACAAAAAAAATAAAAAATGCATCATTAAATCAGTGTAAATGACGAAAAAAAAAACCCAGATCAACAGAAATTTTTATTAAATAAAAGCCTAAACTATCCAACCACCATGTGATATGACTAACAACACTGTACATCCTCAGTGATGTGTGTACTTTGTGTGGTTTTTCTGGTACTGAATATTAATGCCTAGCAACACCCCACAAAAACCTAGAAACAACTATCCTTGGATGTTAAAAGTGTACTACCGTCTTGACAAGTTTCACCTCAGACAGCGGCTGCCTCACAGGTGTCTCAACAACCAGGATGCCGGAAAACAAACACGCCGAAGGGAAACCTGCGCTTCTAAAGATCCAAAAAACACAAGAGATACAGAGGTCTGAACTGAAGAGGCCTCTGTGACGCAAGAAAAGGGCCTCTACTTCAAAACTGCTCTAAAAACCAAAAGAAAAGCTACTCCTGACACTAAAACAAGCCGTGACAGACAAACTACAACTTCCAGTGCTACTGTGAAAAGTTGTTTCTTCCTCGAAGTGCCCTATGAGTAGAAGCACCGTACTGTATTGGCGTGGTTAAGGTTGGGGTCTTATAATCAGGTCTGCTGAGCTATTGTCACCAGTATGAGGTACTGTACTGGCTGCGGGGAGGCTCGCTGGGACGGCCTCAGGCATTGTGTGAGTTCCATAGACCTTTAAGTTTGTTTTAGCACTGCTAGTCTGTGTTCACTGGGACGAAGAAAGGAAGAACCCTCATCTGATGACAAAAGTCTGCCCTCTAAAACAATTAAAAGAACTCCAAAGACAAACACTAACTTTCACTATAGATCATTCATTTATTTAGTACTTTTTCTTTTTTTTTTGCCCTACATCGGTTTTAGTTACTAAAGTCAGCCTTGGATTCTGAGAGGTAATTCTGAAATATACAGCACAAAATAAAAGAATGGAACTAAAATGGGTAGATGGGTAAGAAATGCGTTCAGAGGTCAGTTTTGAGGGAAGCTGTGACGCTCCAAACACCTCCCACCATCTCTCATAATGCAGGTGCAGACTGGTATAAGTGTTATAGAGAGACAGAGAATGATGCATTTATGTGTGACTCTATTGTACATGTTTACAGATATACAGTTATCTTGTCGTACACAGTGACATCTCAACGACTCTACATTCTACACAGAAGACAAGGATTTTACACCATGTTCAAGAGTCCTGTCAGTGTATTTTTGCAGCTTTGCGTTTTTTTCTTCTTCTTCAAATCAACCCCAGAGTTATGCTGTTATCAAATAGAGCTGGTAAGATCGGTTTGGGTGATTATAAAATTCTTTTTTTTTTTTCTTACAAGTGAATAAACGTCATTGTTTTTTTTCTTTTAGTTTTTAAGTCTCAAAAAAACCTGGAGGTACAGTTGGGAAAAACAGGAGGTACAGTTGGTTAGTCTCTCTATCAACCAGTTTGTAAGTTGTTTTTTTAAATGGTGAAATCAGTACACAACATCCACATTCAGAACCACTTCGGGCAGGTATGTACCCCTTAGATCCTGCACTTCATTCCTTCCTAGCAAATAAAAAGAATATGGACTTGGAAATCCTTTATCATTAAGAGGTCGTTTGGCGTCCAGGCAAAGACAAGTCCAACAGAGTTGACTACGGTTTACAAAGTTTCACTAGTCAGCTGGACCTGAAAAGCTTAGAGATTACTGTAAGATCTTCTGTTTTGATCTCTTTTTCTGTTTTCATTAAAAAAGAAAATTAAAAACTCTCAAAATGATCAACAAGGTTAACAAGGCATACAAAATGTGGAAAAAAGGGGAAATGAAAGATTGGACTGAGGTACCCTGAAGCCTGAGGTAGATCACAATACTGACATGCGCACTGTTCACATCCTGACCAAAGTTAGCACGGTCGTTCACGCTGCTGTTCTCCTATTTTTCAGGTTTTTCATTTATATTATTATTCATAGTCTAGTTTTTCAAGAAAATAAACGCTTCCCTTCAAAATAATATGGCAGTGTCCCACTGAGGAAAAAAAGAAAAGGACTTTGTTTTTCTTTTTGTTTCTTATCAATAGCTCTCATCACAAAATAGGAAAAAAATAGATTCATAAATATTACTCTCTTTTTATATATATATACACACACACAAACACAAACACACACACGGAGGAGGCTGTGCGTATTGGCAATAACCTTTTAAGTCTGGAAGATGAAGCTGATGGGTTGTGTGGTGACAAAATAAGGCAACAAGCTTCCACGGTCTCAAAAGTAAAAGCACAGAGGGGACACCAGGACCTACCTGCGTGTCCAGCGTGCTCGCACAGCAGCCGGCCAGCTCGCCGAAATTAAAACGACACACACACAAAAAAGTGAAGTGTAAAGAAGAGAGCGAGGGGTGAGGATGACAATCGGTGTCTGTGCCTCTGGCCGGGCCCTATCGGACACGGCGGGGGGGGTGACACTTTTTCTAAAAAAGGCTGCATATTGTACATTCACAGCTGTCCTGCCGTTTTTAAAGAGCTCCCTGACAAGAGAGGGTTAAAGCAAAACGCGGCTGCGGTCACGTTTTGCGGTCGTGTGTGCACCAAAGGTCATACAGTGCCTCCCTGTGACAACCCCACCCACCCACCCCACCCTCTACACTTAAGACCTTCACCCTCACTGCCACTCCACACAGCACAAGTCTGCACTCTCCCAACCTCCACGTCCTGTCCCCCTTTTCCGGGCCCTCAGCTCACATCTTGTGCCGACCCTCGTGACGTCCTCATAAGGCCGAGCGTGTGGCAGTGCACATTCAAAAACGGCTGGTCGCCTGCTAAAAGTGCACCTTTTTCTTTAAAGACGTACATTTTTACTCTGATCGTCGAGGAGAACGTCTTCACAGACATCCTTTTGATTTTCTTTTCTTTAAATAGATATACTGTATATATGGGCAGCAAGCATTAATGTAGATATACTCTACTATTATACAGAATGGGAGAGTGATACCAGTTTACTGGTTCAAAAATAATAAAAACCCTCGGTGGCGTCTGACCTCTGTTGAGCGAAGGTGGCAGTCAGTTCACTGTTATCAAAAGGCTACGGGGAAAAAAAGAGGTGTTCCTCGACGACAAATATTTTTTATCCTATTAAATAGTCATGATGCCAGATGAGAGAGAGTGATGAGAAAGTGAAGCGGAGAGGAAAGACATAAAAAAGAAAAATGTGTAGCGTCGGATATGAATGGGAAGAGACGTTTAAAAGGGACGTTATCTTTTGCGTTGGCACACACACAGGCTTGTTACAAAGACTCAGAACCATTCACCATTACGTTTACTTATAGGGGTTTTCTTTGTTTTCTGATTTCAGTGGCCTTAAGTGTGAACAAACAAGGGAAACCGTTTTTTTTTTTGTGGCTGTCAAGGCCCGATCGATCTCTGGAACAAGCACGATAAAACATTTAAAATCTACACCAAGCTGTACTGTCATTTAGTGGAAAAATAACAGTGCATACCCTCAGTGTGCATCAATATACTTCTCTACTCTGTATTAATAATACTGCTAAGGATAATTAATCTTGCAATCTGAATATCTCAAAGAGAAGGTCCATTGTCACTCGCTCTCATTCTAACCCAAAAATTTCAATCACAATGCCTCGTATACGTTTGTGTTAATGCAGTTGCTTTATCCGTTTGTTAGGCCTATGTTAGTCCAACTAAAGAGATAACGTTATGCAGGGCGATGTACTATTTCCTGTTGACCTTTTTGACTGTGAAGACAACAGTTCAGTTCCAATTCTCTGCCATTTCCATCTTTCTTTCTTTTTTCTATTGTGTTATATCAGTACGGTTTCTCCCGCTCTATCTGCGCTCACAGGGCTGGCAGTGCACACACAATGCCTTTAGCCTTTGGCTCTCACTTGATTCCCCCACAGTAAAGTTCTTTGGTTTTGATCCCGGTGCTGCTGGTCTGCCCTGCATGTCCCCCTTGGGCCTTGGCCTTTGCCTAGGTAGGTCTCTGTCCATTTTGGGAGGGGCTACATTCATTGGCTGGCGCCCGCGGAGGTCAGCCCACCAGGTCACTTGGAGTGGTGCGGTGACACAGCGGCGCCCTGCTGGTGTTTCTGTTCCTGCTGTTTGACCTGCTGTATGATCTCCCGGATCTTCCTCTGTGCAGTCTGTGGCAAGAGAGGGACGAGGTTTTAGCTGAGCCATGACACCTCTGGCTGTCCATATGTAAATAATAGATGATGTAAAGGTCCACCACAATGTTAAAAAATTTAATAAATAAAAAAGTCCTTTGAGTAAATCTAATTATCTAAAGTCTATATGTAAATGTCTGTGAATGATCTGTCTGTGAACTGCAA